GAAGCCCCAGCCGTCACCCCAGCCCATGGAGCCCCACTCACCTGATCAGGGTGTTGACCTTGGCCACATCAATGTCATAGAGCTTCTTCACAGCCTGTTTGATCTGGTGCTTGTTGGCCTTGACATCCACAATGAACACTAGTGTATTATTGTCTTCTATCTTCTTCATGGCTGACTCGGTAGTCAGGGGGAATTTGATGATGGCATAGTGGTCAAGCCTGGGGAAGGTAAAATGGGGTCACCTAGCCTGAGCCCAGTTTAACGGAGAATGAGCCCTCTTTTGGAGCCCAGGTGCATCAGATGATGAGTAGCAATCATTTTTGTCAGACTTTGGTCGCTGAACAGTATCATCACCTGCACCCTGAAATCTAGACCTGGAGCCTCAGCCTGAGAGCAAAACCGTGAGCACTTCCTTTCACTTGAAGGGCTTTCATCCTTTAAGTGATTAAATCATCTTGAGTTCCAAATCATCTTTATTTGAGCTTCATTCTTTATTTGACCTCAACATTTCTGAAGGGCATATTTCTGAATAAAATTTAAGACCTGAGACATTAAAACCAAAAAGCACACAGCTAGAATACAGCATCTTGAAACTCGGGTTAGAATTCCAAAGAATATTGGTGCTTCACTATGAGGCTGGGAGGCCAGGCCATTTCTACCCATTTTGGTTGCTGAAAACTGGCTTGAGGGCCATCCATTCTTGAGAGCAACTTTAAAAATAAAATTTACAGCTCAGGTTAAACTTAGTGGCTTAAACACCCCTACAGCACAGTCCGCCCCCCCCCCCCGAAATTCAGAGAAGCAAGGCTCTGTTCACATGGACATTACTATCCCATTTTGAAGCTAGAAGTCAGGTCTCAGCCTTTCATTACCCTAAATTCTAGGTCCAAATGGGGGTAAAAAGCCTGTCAAGTGTTTTCCTCCACAGCTGGACACAAACCACTCCCCTGCCTTTTTCTTAGGAAGCAGTGGGAGGAGCAGAAACCCATCAGCTTCTACCACCTTGGTTCTACTCTAATCGTGGTTCCTGAGGTCAGTTATTAACAGCAGCACTACTCAACCATTATCTGAGTGTAAACATTTGAGAGTGAATGAAAAGATGTTTCCATACACTGCTGCAGGCCCTCACCCTCCAATACAGATGAATGAATTTTGTTATCAACCTAGAATCATCACACCTCCTCACCCTCAAGGACTATTCCCTATATAGCAATAGGTGCTATGAGGGATGAACTATATCTGGAACTCCAAAACAAGAACCTAAGTCCTATTTTATACTTCCAAGAAAGTGGACTTTAAAACCCTAACATATAAAGTGATAATGAACCTAACAACGAATTCCTGCCAACAGTGTAAAAAATGTCTCTTCTTGTTCTTTAAGGCATTAATCTCCCCACACCCCCATCAAGAAGGACCTCAACATGTTTTTAAGAAGCCAGGTTCTAAGTTTGGTAAATTTCATAATTACAATGGAAGATATCCAAACATCTTTTCAAGAGGATGGTCGGTGCTCTTCTGGGGGGCACGCCTGTGCCCTTCCCTTCCCCCCTCCCCCAGGTGCACTACCTTTGCCTTTCTCTCTCCTAAGCTCCAAAGGCCCTAGCACGCCTGTGCCCTTCCCTCCCCCCTCTCCCAGGTGCACTACCTTTGCCTTTCTCTCCTAAGCTCCAAAGGCCCTTCTGTCTCTGCCTCTAAGTTGTTTCCTAAGCCTACAGGGCCCAGCTAGTTCACTTCTACTACCTATGCAACTTCCTAAATAAACTTCCTCTTACACAGGGGGTTGGCGGGGAGGAGGGGCAATACTGACTTGTTTCTCCTGGGTGCGCTCTTCCGAGGGTATTTAGGCTGCCTCCGGAGCCTTAGTGTCTTTTGCCGTCGGAAAGTGGGTGACGTGCGGATCTTCTTTTTTTTGTGGCTGTGGACGCCTTTCAACACTGCTTTCTTTGCCTTCAAAGCCTTTGCTTTGGCTTCGGCTTTGGGAGGGGCAGGGGCTGAGAAAAGGAAAGAGAATGAGGGATTCAGAAATCATCACTTCCGGCCTAATGAACGGTAGTGGGCGCACCAGGCTACATGTGCATCAGTGGTTCCTTTGGAGACATCACAAGTCTCAGCTTAAAAGTTTTTCCATCATATGCACAATTATTGGGGCAAACTTGGAGCAACTCCAGGGATACCACACAGGAAAAAAAAAATAAACCTAGCAATAATCGAACGCCTGACACTTGCCAGAACGTTGTGCTAGTAGTTTTATAACATCTCACAGCCACCCCGGGCGGGTATATAGCCGAATATAATGAAATTTAAAAAAACTAAAGTAAGTTAAGTTGAGGGCACTGATTCCTTACAGGTCTGGAGACACGGAGCTGCGGCCTGTGGATGCGTGTAGCTCCCCGCAGTCGACTATGTGGCTGCGGGCTCCCTCCCCAACCCCCTTCAACCGGAGCCCAAGCCCATGTGGCTGGGCCCACGCGCGCCGCAGCGTGGCCGAAACGAAACGGGAAGAGCAGCTCCGGAGCTGACACCCCAAATCTTAGCCCAGCCACCGTCCTTTCAGTTTGTTTACTCTGCGGGGATCCCAGGCCGGCGAACCAGCAGTGTTCCTCCCAAACCCCACCACACACCTTCCTTCTTAGCTTTCGGCGCCATCTTCGTAAAAAGGGTTTCCGAGACCCGTTCTCCTGGGCTTATAGAGCCAAGTCTCACCGAAACCTCGCGATGTTTTCTACTTAAAGCCGATTGGGTGATCTGTAGCGCGGCGCCCGCTGGGAATAGTAGTTAGGCTCCATTTCCTTAAGAGCGACTAAGCATGCGCCACTCCGCCCCTCGTAAGAACTAAGCTTCTTGGGGGTTGTAGTTTATTTGTCCGCTGTGGCGGTTGGATGGTAAGCGGACAGCCACTCGGGTCTGGTCCTGAGCGCTTCCCATCTTCAGCAACTTCAGGGAAAAGCATTGCAAGTTCCAGGAGACAGCAGCACTGCAAACTGTAACGAATATAATTCGATTAGCTCAGGGAGAGTGAAGCAAAGTTCTAGAACGTTAGAGCAGAATTTGTCAGGCCCAACTCCCTCAAACATTTGTGTAAATTGAGGTCTCGAGAGGATACGTGGCGGATCAATAATGGTGATTTGGGGGGAAAAAATAAAAATAAAAATCGAGTCACGCAGAGGGGAGGGAAAAAAGTTCCAGACGAGGTAGAAGGTGGCAACATCTCCCCTCTTTACCCATGGCAGTCTGATTTCATGTGTTTCCCTGACAAGACTCTGGAGGAAATTCTAGCAATATTCCAAACACCCAGCGCACAGACTTCAGCATTCGCTAATTCTTCTAGTGAATAACTCCGTTCACAATTCCTCCCCTTTCAGTAGTCTTCCATTTCGTGCCCCAGCCGTCCATCGTTGCATCTCAAATTCAGTTCCGGACACAGAGCAAAGTTGAGCAGAGCTCCAGTTTGCTTCCCGGGGGTCGGCGTCCTCCTGCCTTCACCCCTCCCTTTCAATCGTCTCTCTGGCCTCTGGGAACCTGCTTTCCCCGCTGACGGTGAGATTTGGGGTGCGGTACCCGATTCTGTCTCCCACGACTGCAAAATGCGAAAGTTGTTCTTGGGACGATTCCAAAGGGGCCAGTTTGAAGAACGCCCCTACCCGAGAGGCGTCCTCATGTTCCGGAGCAGTGACCTCCCCAAAGGGCGGAGTTCCCGGCCCGTCGAGCCCTCCTTTATCCTCCATCGAGGGGGGCGGCTTGGTCTTCGGCCTCCCCACCTCTCAATCTACCCCGGAGCCTTCGAGGAGACGACGCCACACCTCGGACGTCTCTCTCCCAGGTGGGCACCCAGCTCCGCCTCTGCACCCCTGTCGCTCCCCCTCCCACCTCCCACCTCCCAGGGCTGAGGGCGAGCGGGGGCAGACGCTGTGAGTCACGTCCCGGGCCTGCAGTTGGGAGGGAAGCGCCGCCTCTCCTTGGGCCCCTT